ACCCCGACCCCTGCAGCCCCACCGGCCCCGCTAAAGACCCTAACCCTAACCCTAACCCTAACCCTGACCCTGACCCTGACCCTGACCCTGACCCTGACCCGAACCCGAACCCTAACCCTGACCCTAACCCTAACCCTAACCCTAACCCTAACCCTAACCCTAACCCTAACCCTGACCCTGACGCCAGGTCGACTACTCGTCCGACGGGTGGCTGCTCAAGCACTGCCCGCCAGGCGCGACACTCGCGCCCTCTCCCCACATCTCCCCACATCTCCCCATATCTCCCCTATCTCCCGCCAGGCGCGCGACTCACGGCTTCGCTGCAGTACGAGGCGCGCGTGCAGGCCGGAGGCACGCTGGCGCTGCTCCTGCTCTGGCTCGCCGCGCTCGGCTGGCGCTCGCTGCTGCTGACTTGGCTGCTCCCCGCCTACCTCGGCCCGCCGCTCCTCTACTTCGTCCAGATGCACGAGCATGCCGCTTGCGCGCTCGACCCGGACGGCCTCTCCAACACGCGCACGACGCTCACCTCGCCGCTGATCAACTTTGTGATGTGGAACATGAGCTACCACGCCGAGCACCACCTGTACACCATCCTCCCCTTCCACGCCCTCCCGCGCGCGCACGCCCTCCTCAAGCAGAACCTCGTCAACCTCTCTGAGGGCGGACACCTGTCGGTGCACAGGCAGGTGCTCGGCTCGTGGATCCTAGACACCTCCTAGACACCTCCTAGACACCTCCTAGACACCTCCTAGACACTTCTCCGCAGGTGCTCGGCTCGTGGATCCGCGAGCAGCACGACGCCATCGTCAAGGCGGCGAAGAGCGGCGCGGCGGGCAAGGAGAACGAGAAGAGTGACTAGCGCTTTCGCGGGCGTCCCCACGCAGTGCCCAGTGCGGTGTACCTTTCCCCCTTGTGTTCTTGTCATTGTGCACATGCACAGTGCTTACGTTTGGGCTACGGGGTGTACCGTAGTAGCATGTATCATGTATGTGTATGTGTGTGTGCGACGTGGTATATGAGGGTTCCGAGGAGCGAGGTGGTCAGCTCTTGCCAGTGTATCATTCTCATCTCTGTCATCGCAGCAAACTCGCCCAGTGGCCGCAAACGACACTTTGCGACTTTCCCCCCGGCGCTTGGCAGTGGCAGACCCACCCCAAAGCCCGCCGTACCGCGCGTACGGCTTTAAAGCCGAGATTCTCTCTGACACTCTGACTCTCCAGTGACTCTCTGTGACTGTGTGTTCTCTCTCTCGTCGTCACAGACACAAGTCACACACACACACAATACAGAATTCAATACACACAAATGTTCGTTTCGCACACAATCACAAAATGCAAGTAATGTGACAAAACAGAGATCGAGAGACTCTCGCTCAGGACGGGGAGAGAGAGGGTGACACGCGCGCCGCAATATAGATCCGCACGTCGCACCGGTCGGGCAGGGGGGGCGCACAGGGCTCCGAGAAACATGTGAAAGCTGTGACCTGTGTGAAAGAGGACGGGGCGCGGGGGGCGCTCCCCCGCCCGCTGACAGCGTGGGGCGCAGCCGCACAGTGTACTCTCACACACGTCTCACTCAAGTGTCAAGACAGACGACAAGACCACAAGACTCAAAGAAGAGAGAAACGCTCGAGGAGAAGATACGCCTCTCTCTGTTCGTTGTTTTTGAAGATCCCGTAAAGAAAAGAACTCTGGCGATGAATAGCGGAGCGCTGCCGTCTCGCTTGATTTTTTGCCAGTGCGTGACGGGACAGGGGAGAGAGGGGGGGTTATCAAGGCATATGGACGGGATGGCAATAAATGTGAGGGATATGCGTCACGGGGGCGAATAAATATGTATATGCGTCACGGGGGCGAAAGGAGCATTGCGGTACAGATTCGGCAGCTGCGCCGGTTCAGCCACAGCAGTCAAGCCTGGCCGAGCTGGTCAAGGCGTTGGTGCGTCTTGGCGTTCACAGCGCACGGCGTCGATTTGAACCACATCTCCACCTGCGACGTAGCGGCGTGTCTCGATGGCCTCTCCTCAGCCGCCTCCCATCCCTGCTACGTACGGCATCTTGCGGCGACCCACCTTTGCCCAACACTTCTTCTGTTCGAGGGCAGAGACGTCGCGTGTGGCTGGTTCGCCCGCCTCGGCCGCCTTTTGCGCCTTCAACGCCTTCTGTTCGCCCTTCCTTTTGGCCATGTATGCTTTGGTTGGCTTGGCCTGGAGGGGGCGCGCCTTGACGTCACCTGAGAGCAGCACGTGGATCGGGAGCGGTGCTTCACGCGAGAGGGCAGAAGCAGAGAGTGTGGTGGCAGAGGCGCGCGGCGGCGAGACGCGGACAGCGGTAGTGGCAGTACGGTGGCGAGATCAGGGGCGCACTCATGGCGCTGAAAAACTTGGGCGGCAGCAAGTTTGATCCTCGGGCGCCGTTTCCGTTGGCGCTCTGTCTACTCATCGGCATCTGGCAATGTGCGTCACGCGGGCCACCTACAGCGCTCTGCTCAAGGCGCTACGCGCCCAGAGCCGCGCGCTCGATTTCTCAACAGATTGGCCCAAGCGTGCAGGGCTACGAGGAATGGCAGCGGCTGGCAACCAGCTGGTGAAGGCAAACTCGCTCGTTGGTCAGGACGCGCCATCCTCCTTCACAGAGATCTGTCTCGAATGGGAGCAGCTGCTGCAGGCCCGACCAGTGTCCAGCCTGCTCCGACCGCTCTTCTTCGCGCAATCGGGCGACCAGGCACGGCTCCTGCTCGCGGGATACCCGGCCCTCTCCTCCGCCATCTTCCAGGCGGTTGGAGACCGCATCGATCAGGCCCTCGCAGCACTTCGCATTTCTTCCCTCTTCGACGCGGTGGTGGCACACACGGCGAGCGAGGCACCCGCACGCAAGCGGAGGCCGGAAGGGCTGCTCTTTGCCTGCGGCGATGTCTGCCTGCACCGCTTCTTCGGCCGGTGCGTGGTCGTCGGCTGGGATGAGACATGCCAGCGGGCCGGCGCGTGGGACCTCGGCCAGGGGCTGAGAGAGGTGCGGAGGTTTGGGCGTGCGCAGCCCTTCTACACGGTGCTCCTAGAGCGGGACCAGGTGGCGCGGTACTGTTCGCAGGAGAACCTCGCGCTGCTCACGGAAGCCAAGGTCTTTGCACACCCACAGGCCGCCTTCTACTTTGCCTCGGCGCGCGGGTTTGTGCCGAGCGAGGCGCTCACCTTTGTGTACCCGGATGACCGCGACCTGAGCGCGGCGCCAGAGCGGCGGGACTATAGGACCCTGCGCGAGGCCCTCGATGGGTAGAAGCCAGATCCGCGGGCGACCACCACGGACTTGAGTCTTCCTATAAGAATTCAACAAAGCAAGACTCTCTAGCTGGTCGAGTGGTTCTTTTGACCTTTTCGCACGGCCACGGGCGCGGGGACGTGTTCTTTTACACATCTCTCCTGGTAGAGGTGGTTCGACCCCACGGCCCACGCGCCACGAGCCCCACGCAAAAGACTAGGTCCAGCCCTGGGTGAGCCAGATCTGACGTTTTGGGACATCGCGTCAGATCCGTGTTTTTTTGGTCTTGCGGTACATCTCTCCGCTCGCCACCTCACGCTCCGCCGTCCGGCCATGGATGGTCCGATGGAGCTCGCCGAGCTCCATCGGACCATCCAACTCCGGTCACCGAGTCTGAACGCGCTCAGCCTCAGGAGGTACCAAACCGCGCGAATTCTGCACGCCTCGCTGCACCGCTGGCTTGACTGAATCAGGCAGCAGCAGGCTGCTGCTGCTGCCACAGCAGCAGCCTGCTGCGGCCCCAATACGCAAGTTAATGACCAGCATTGCTGCCGGGGGCATTCGAGCCGCCACAGCCGGTGTGCGGCTGTGCACTGCCACCTGCCCGCGGCTAAGCACAATGTGCGCTCGCATTGGATGAGCCCTGCTGATGGACCTGCGTCGCCTTAGCTGCACGAGAGCAATGCCGCAGGCGGCGGCCGTGGCATACACTGCGAGCACACTCGGTGCAGCTGCAAGGTGCAGCAAGAGCACGTCGTTCCTGCCTCTGATGCCACTCTCGCGGCTTGTAGCGCGTCACTCGCGCATGCTCTCCAGGAGCTATGGCGGGCGCGTGTGTGGGGCTGTAGCCTGTGTGTTGGCCGGTTCTGACCCGTTTACTATCAGTACCATGCCTGGGCCACAATAATCGCACACGGGGAGCGGCTCAGGGACCCAGTAAGCCGCGGAATCGCCAAATGTCACAACCCGGCTCACCCAGGGCTGGACCTAGTCAAAACCAGATGTATGTCCATGTGTGAGAGAGATTTTTTAGCAATACCAAACAACTCTAACACTCACACATCATTTGGGGCCTGGAGCCCTGTTCACGCGCGCGCAAGACGTGCAGACAGGGTTGCCTTTTGTTTTTCCAGGTGTCGTACGTTCCCCCACAAAGAAGCCTGATTTCTCTCGAGAATTTTACAACCGAACGCAGCCGGCAGCAGGCTGTCGGGGCCTTGGCACACGCCTCCCCCCCCTCTGTGATCATCGGTGGTCCTGCCCACTACAGGTAGTGCAACTCAAGGCCGAAAAATTCTTTTTGGTTTCCGGCCATGCGCTCGTCGTAAGGAGCACGCCGCGTCCCGTGCCCCCGAGTTCATTTTATTAAGGAGCACGCCATGACGATCGAGATGGCGGGCTACATCCGCAAGACGCACGCGGGCGGCGCGTACACGGAGGCTCGCTCGGTCAAGCGCTGGCTGCTCTCCGATGGCTTCCAGGTGCGCTACAGCAAGTCGCCCAGCGGCACGCAGACGGGAAAGTTTGATCTGCGAAACGTGGAGGAGCTGCGGATGGTGTCGCGGGGCGACGCGCCGGGCGTGCGCGTCAAGGTGCGCGACCGCGGCAACAAGCTCCTCGAGATCCACTTCCTCACCTCAGGGCCGCGCTGGATCGAGTACTGGGCCTCGGCCGTCGCAGAGTCGGCGCTCGATGACGAGCTCCGGCAGTGGCGCAGGGCGGAAATGACGGCGCAGCTGGACAGCACGTACGCGGACCAGGCGGGTCTGAAGGCCAAGGGCGCCGGCACCACCGACGACCTCCTCTTCTCGCCGCGCGAGCGGGCCGGAGCCGCCGAAGCCTCGCAGCCGCCGCCTCGCGCCGTGGCGCCGCTGAACCACTCGACGGCCGAGTCGACGGCTTCGACGGCGGAGGGGGTGCCGGCGGCGGCGGACGGGGACGACGACGACGACGTCTTCATCGTGACGGTGCCTCCCCTCTCGAAGCCCGGCGACAAGCTGCGAGCCACCGACCAGTACGGCTCGAGGATGATCCTTGTCGTGCCGCCCGGTGAGAAGTCCTCTGGTGAGAAGGAGGAGGGAGGGGCGGGAGGGAGAGAGGGGGAGAGGCACCACGAGGGGAGGGTCGAGGAGGGCCCAAGAGACCGCCTCGAGACGCCGCCTCGAGACGTGCCGGCTCATCTCCCCCCTGACCCCTCCTCCCGCGCCCTCTCCAGGAGCCAGCCCGGGCACCACCCTCGAGTACGTCAAGCCCAAGGCAACCTCTGCGGGGGCGGCTACTCCTGCCTCCGCCCCCGCCGCCTCGTATGCCGCCGGCGCGCCGTCGCCAAGCAGCGGCGGTGGCGCGGCGGCGAGCGGCGGCCCGTCCTACCGAAACAGCTCCGCCCCGCTGCTTGGCGACGACGACGAGGAGGGGCCGGCGGGCTGGCTGGGGAGTGCTCTGGCAAAGTGCTTGCCGCGCTGCTTGCCGGCCGACGGGGGCAGGGCGCGAAAGTACGAGGATGCGATGGCGCGGGGAGAGTACCAGACCGCTGCCGGACTGGTGCGTTGCGGGCGGCGAGAGTGTGGCTGGGGGAGCGTTGCTTGAAGTGCCGGCCGACCTTGTGCGCAGGCGAGTTCGGAGGAGGAGTCGCGCAGGGTTGGGCAGGCGAAGGACCAGACCGCGGCCTTCGTCGCCGCGATCCGGAGCTACGACTGGGAGGCGGCCAAGCGGCTGGCCCGCTCACAGCAGGCCTGAGGAGGGCCTCGAGGGCCCGAGAGTGGTCAGCAGAGGAGTGATGGTCGGTCAGTGTGAATAGGAGAAGGAGGACCTCGAGGACTCGATCGTCCGTGTCAACTACCTCAACTTCTACATCGACAGACACGAGACGGGGGCGGCGCTCGAGCTCGCGATCACCGAGGCCGAGGTGGCGAGAATCCACGCCGCGGCGGCCGCCTCCTAGGCCGCCGCACACGCGCTCGGCGAATGCACCAGAGTCACCCACGTGGGCCGTGGCGGCACGATCGTGTCTTGTCGCCCTTCTCGTGCTCAGCTCCCGGGAGGCTCGCGGGTCGGCGGCAGCCACAGCGCGGGTTCGGCGTTGTGTGGGCCCGTTTATATCACCGCTCTTTACTCGTTTATTCCCACACAAAGAACCCGCTGCGCACAAAAGCGGATCGCACGCGGCACGGGCGCGGGGACCTGTGACCTGTGTTCCTTTTTACCCATCTCACAGTAGAGAGGTGTCCGTTCGAGAGATGGGCCCAGGTAGGAGGCTCCACGCCACCTGACTCGCGTCGTGCCACCTGACTCTCGCCTGGAGAGACCTCTTAGCCGAGGCACACGTGGCAATCGCCACGTGCGCCAACAGGGATTTCGGCCATTTTAGAGCCTTTTGCACAAAAATGCAGGTGGCTTTAGCCACTTGCTCCATGAGCAAAACAGTGCAAAAAGCACCTGGAGCAGATGGCTTACGCCGCCTGTGGACATGGGCAAAACAGTGCAAAAAGCACCTGGAGCAGATGGCTTACGCCGCCTGTGGACATGGGCAAAACAGTGCAAAAAGCACCTGGAGCAGACGGCTTACGCCGCCTGTGGCCATGGGCAAAACAGTGCAAAAAGCACCTGGAGTAGATTCCAAACGCCGCCTGTGGCCATGTGATGCGCTCGGGTGGCGCCAAGGGCTTCGGCCCCCTCCAAGCCACCTGCCCCGCCCCCCTCGCCACACGTGGAGGGCTGGAGCACGTGCGCCACCTGGGCCTGGGCAGGTGGCAACAGGTGGCTTCAGCCCCCTCCAAGCCACCTGCCCCCCCTCCCTCGCCACACGAGGAGGGCTGGAGCACGTGCGCCACCTGGGCCTGGGCAGGTGGCTCCAGGTGGCTTCGGCCCCTCCAAGCCACCTGCCCCGCCCCCCTCGCCACACGTGGAGGGCTGGAGCACGTGCGCCACCTGGGCCTGATGGGTGGGCAGGTGGCGCCAGGTGGCTTCGGCCCCTCCAAGCCACCTGCATGCCCCCCCTCGCCACACCTGGAGGGCCGGAGCACGTGCGCCACCCTGGCGCAAGTTTGAATTCGGAAACGGAAAATCCGAGCCACGGAAGGGCTGGGCTGCCAAACTCGAGCCTCCCCGCTCCTCCCCGCGCTGCAAACTGGGACTGTGTAGCGTGTTAAAGAAAGGCTGTAGCGGTCATCGGCGGCTACAATCTATGGCCGGCGTCCACATAAACCTGGGGGTTCAACCCGGCCCACGCGGGCGTTTGGTGTGGCTGCAAACACCGCAGGAGCCGGTGGCTGCGCTGCTCACGCGCAGTTGCTGCCGACGCTGAGCAGTCTGACTCGCCAATGAGAAGACTGCCCGATAATACGCCATCACTCGATCCCCGATAAACCAGGCCATGCAGAGCTTTGTTTGTCGGCCTCGTCGACGTCGTGTGCTGGCTGCGCGGTAGAGTTGCGAGAGTGGATTGTGGAGGCGCGGCGGGGGCGACTCGTGGTGCCGAGGCGGTGTATAGTACATTCCTATTCAAAAGAACACGCACGATGAAATTCCCGAAGTGACGCCCAGGTGGCGCACGTGCTCCAGCCCTCCAGGTGTGGCGAGGGGGGGCATGCAGGTGGCTTAGAGGGGCCGAAGCCACCTGGAGCCACCTGCCCGGGCCCAGGTGGCGCACGTGCTCCAGCCCTCCAGGCAGGTGTGGCGAGGGGGGCAGGTGGCTTGGAGGGGGGCGAAGCCACCTGGCGCCACCCGAGCGGTCACATGGCCACAGGCGGCGTTTGGAATCTACTCCAGGTGCTTTTTGCACTGTTTGCGCATGGCCACAGGCGGCGTAAGCCATCTGCTCCAGGTGCTTTTTGCACTGTTTTGCCCATGTCCACAGGCGGCGTAAGCCATCTGCTCCAGGTGCTTTTTGCACTGTTTTGTCCATGTCCACAGGCGGCGTAAGCCATCTGCTCCAGGTGCTTTTTGGACTGTTTTGCTCATGGAGCAAGTGGCTAAAGCCACCTGCATTTTGTGCAAAAAGCTGCAAAGGACTCGTGGAGGCACGTGGCGCTTTCCGCGTGTGTCTCGTGCAAAATCCGGCATTTTGTGGCTTTCAGGTGGCACGACGCGATTCAGGTGGTGTGGAGCCTCCTACCTGGGCCCATCTATGGTCCGTTCTTATTTATTTATTTTTATTCACGAGCGGAGGCCCCAGGCTGCGGCCCAGGGAACCGTGCTCCGTGGGCGAATAGGAGAAGGAGAGTCTAGGACTAGCGCTTTGTTCCCTAGTGGCGTGCTGTGTACGACAAACAGCGAAGGCCGAAGAAGCGATAGCGAAGAGGCCTGCGTTTATATGCACCACGGCTTTGCGGGGTTGCTTGCCGATGCCGCAGGAGCTGAAAAAAGCGGGGGTTTTCAAAAAAAAATCATTGTGCGAGCACTTGGTGTTGGAGCACTTGGTTGGAGTGCAGTTGTTTTTGTGTTGCAGTCAGTCAGTAATCGCACATCCAGGGCCGCCGGGGAGCTAAGAAGCGCACCCAGCGGGCCAGATGATTGGCATCCTAGAGAGCCCCAGCCCTGGAAAAGAAGGAAAGGCAGACAACCCAAGGGAGGGAGGTGCGCGTGGGAGCGAAGAAAATTCTTTTGCAGAGCTGTGTTTGTGCGAGGGAGTCGGCTCGCGGCTCCCGGCTCGCTGCTGGGCGACCGTACCGCTCGCTCCTGGCGACCGTACCGCTCGCTCCTCCTGGCCCTCTCGGAGTCTCTGCTGCCTCACCCTGAGGTTCTCCAGCGAGAGCGTGCGCCGGATGGGCAGGACTTCCGGCGGAGACCGCGCCGGGCGGCGCAACAACTTCGCTGCAAACATCGGCAGTCTCTGCGCCCGACGACGCTACAGGCAATTTCCCGCACATTAATCCGTCGCGCTTTCCCGTAGGCAAGCACCACGCGCACACCCAGCGCAAGTCGGTTCAGGAAATGCACGACCGTGCCATCGCGAAGCGGCAGCCGCTGCCGTGGCAGCAGATCGGACTCGTCTCGGTCAGCTTCGTGTCCTTCTGCACGCTCCTCTACCTCTACCTCAACTACCTGGCCGAGGATGACGACGACCTTGAGGAGTCAGAGTGAGTGGCAGCGTCTCGAAGAGTCAGGATCATGAGGAAAACTTCAAGATAGTGCGCGCCTGCCGGTGAGCTGGCTGTAAGACGACTGTCTCACACAGTAGGAGGTGGAGATATAGATCCGAGTTGAGAGGCGTTCCTGATACCGATTTTTCCACACCGACGAGGTGCACCAATGTCACTCTCCCCCCCCATCCGCAAGCGAACCGCCTGCGCCTCCCTCCTGGACCTGGTCCTGCTCCTCTCCGTCCCCAGCCGCGCTGGCAGCTGCCGCCGGCGCCGCCGCGGCCGCAAACTGAAACTCGGATCGCTGCCCCGGCGTATACTTCGCCACGATCTCCTGCTGCGCAGAGGCGTACGCCTCGCGCCACGCCGCCGCCGCCTCTTCCGAGAATTCGCCGCCCAGCACCTCGGATAGAGCCTCGAGAAGCACCTGTCACGTGCGGGGTCGTGAGAAGAGGCTGCTCGATGTCGGTGAGGAGAGAGAGAAGCCTCGAGGGACGCCTCGCCCGCCGCCTCGATCTGCGATAGCGGGAAGCCACGCGACGCCGCCATGCTCCCCAGCTCAGCCAGCGGCGCACACAGCTCCTCCGGCGCGGGCAACAGCGCGACAAGCGCACCAATCCGGCGGCGTGTCGCCTCGGCCAGGCTCGCTGCCTCCCCGTCGGCACCGCCAACGCCGCGCACCTCCGTGCCGGCCAACACCCTCTCGCACAGCATCGCCGCCACAGCAAGCTGCCCATCTGAGGCGACTCCGTCTGTCTCCTCGTCCCGCTGCTGCTCGCCGAGCGCCTCCCAAGTCGCTGCGATGGCCTTCCGCGCAGCGCTGGACAGGCTTGCCGTGGGGCCGGCCCTCAGGCACGGGTTCCCCGCCAGCTCGAGCCGCTCCAGCGCAGGGCTTGCCGCCGTCGCCTCCTCCAACGTGCGCCTGCCCGGGCCTCCAATCAGGTTGAAGCTGAGGTCGAGCGCAGTGAGCGCTCGGTTCGGCGCGCCATTGTCCTCCTTGTCGCCTGCCTCGCCACCACTCTTCCCCGCCTCGTTGGTGGTGCTCTCCGGTGCCAGTGCCTCCAAAACGGCTCGCGCGCTGGCATCCGAGAGGCGGTTCGATGCCAGGCCGAGGAAGGTGAGGGTCGAATTGTGGCGCAAGCTCCGCAGGAGGGGCACCGCACCCTCGTCGCCGAGCCCGCACGAGAAGAGCGAGAGGCTGATGAGGCAAGGGTTTGTGGAGAGGGACGCCTCAATGGCAAGCGCCTCCTGCGTTGCGACGGCACAGCACCTTAGCGACGCAGTCGTGAGCTTTGGTAGCTTCAGGAGCGGCGAGAGGGCGACGCCATC